CTTAGTATAGCAGTGAGTTCAAATGCACCAGCTCATGCCGCAAAGAATACCTCTGCATCAATGGCTGCTATGGGAATTGTTGTGGATCAGAAATGTTGATCTTTGTTATCTTCAGAGGAAGCCCAAATTGTTGTTACAAGTGCACTTGGAGAAGCGAGAATTAGACACCAGACACCTGTTGGTATTCAAAATAAGCCTCTGACGTTTTATTCATCAGCTGAGTTTTATACATTAAAAAGTAAGTGCTTACGTGCAAATACTCTTAGAACAGTAATAGGAAGAGAGTACAGATAAGACATAGGGATGAGTGTCATGTACAAATAAATACGTTTCACGGTAAGAGAGAACAAAATGATTAGAGCAGAGACATCTTAGGTGGGGGCTCTCTGCTCCCGGAACTTAGACATATATGGTCTTAAGTGTTGTTTAAGCATCAAGCATTTCCTGAGTCCAAGTTAGCCAATTTTAATATATGATATTATATGACACCTATAAGCTTGAGCCTTGGAATCAAGATAAATTCTATCACAGAATAAAAGGAGAGAAAGTCATAGTGTGGCCTGCATCCTCCCCTGAACCTTTGGAGCATCCTCAAGCAAAAGATCTATGAGGGTGGGAGGTAGTTTACATCCAAACAGCAGCTCTGGGAGGCTATTCTGACATCTTGCAAACAAATTCAAGCAGAAACTGTCCAAAAACCTCACAAGTTCAATGGATGCAAGACTTGTGAAGCTGCTATCAAATAAGGGGTCCTATGTTAAAATGTTGTTATAAGTTTGATTGAAATAGCTTTTGATTTCAGTAAATATGCTGCAAACACAACAAATGACAATTTTCAGTTCTTTACAACCTATAAAGTGTTTTGAAACTTACTGTGCGTAATAATTTGTAACAGTGCATTGCAAGTTTTTTATGTTTAAAAAAATACTGTTATCATTAGGAGGTTTGTTCAATAAAATTTGAATTGTACTCTTAATAGTTGATAACATGAGAATTATGCTGACTGTTATTTACATCAATTATTTAGGTAAATGAGAAAAATATAATTTGCATAATAATTTGGAACAGGGTGTACATATTGGGAGTCTGCGGCTGGGTTCTCATTTTCAGTGTCTAGTGAGTCATAATCAGATGTTAGGTAACTTTCCAAATTAAGTCTGATCCTACATGTAAAATGTTTTATGATGGTTTCTCATTTTAATTGTATGTTGGTATTTTGTCCAAATTTAGTTTCAATCTGGATTCAAACTGAACAATGAGGAAGGGATACAGGAGAAGGGACAGGATAAATGATAGTGTCCTGCAGAGTGGTAGTTGCCTTGTTATAGAGGGGTGACCTTAGGATAGGTTTGGCTCAGGGAGATCACAAAAGAGGAAAGATAATTAAAACTTCACTTTTAATGTAAATAGTTAAAAGAATGTATACAAATTTTAGTTCAAATAACTGTTGTAAGAAATTATTTCTTACAACAGTTATTTGAACTAAAATTTGTTTGTATACCCCCCTTTTAACTATTTACATTAAAAGTGAAGTTTTAATTATCTTTCCTATTTTGTGATCTCCCCTTAGGATAGGTTGGCCTCGGGGAGATCACAAAATAGGAAAGATAATTAAAACTTCACTTTTAATGTAAATAGTTAAAAGGGGGGTATACAAACAAATTTTAGTTCAAATAACTGTTGTAAGAAATAATTTCTTACAACAGTTATTTGAACTAAAATTTGTATACATTCTTTTAACTATTTACATTAAAAGTGAAGTTTTAATTATCTTTCCTCTTTTGTGATCTCCCTGAGCCAAACCTATCCTAAGGTCACCCCTCTATAACGAGGCAACTACCACTCTGCAGGACACTATCATTTATCCTGTCCCTTCTCCTGTCTCCCTTGCCTATTGTTTAGTTTTATAGTGCATTTCGTTGCACTAGGGGTTAACCCCCGCTCAGGAGTAAGATTATTGTACTATCTTCCTTCCCCTTGTTTTTTGGATTCAAACTGAATTAAATTACAGTCAGACTGGTACTGACTCACTTTTTCAATCTCTTCCTCCAATTTTGAATTGATATCTAATCATTTTTGATTTTCAAATTATCATTTAATGGCAAGTAAAACGTTATATAATGTGTGGGTACAGTAAATAAGTTTGAGGAAAATAACTGCTAAACACAAACACGTCAGAAATGTAAAAACGGTAAGAAAATTGGAAAAAAGTTCTGGTCACCAGGGGGTTAAATCTACATGGGAAGAGATTTTGGGGGTTATTTCTGCCCTGACTAAGTCTGTAATTAATCCTCATCCGAAAATAGCTATACTTCATACTTCTTGTGGTTTAACAATTTTACCATCAGCATTGAGGAGTTTGGTAATTCATGTCCTTTTGGCCATGAAGCTTATAACTGCTTGAAACTGGAAAAATCTGAATTATATTAGTTGGAGAGAGGTAAAAGATCAGATTGATAATGTAGCTAGGATGGAAAAGGGGTATTTTATATCTCATTAAAATTTAGAAGGTTTCTGTAAGATATGGCATCCATGGTACACTAAATTCCTAGAGGAATATTCCACTTGGAGGGGGACAGGGAATTCATTTTTTGCTAGCCCTGTTGTGGGATCGAGTGGCTGACGGATGGGTGGTCGCCTTGAAAAGGGTGAACATTGTCTATTAAAGGTGTTGTGGTTAGGTATCGGACAAGTAGTGTTTTTGGCTAAAAATTTTAGGGTATGGGTTCTGTAATTAGTTTATCGCTTATGCGATTTCCTGTTGATAATATAAGAGTTGTCTGATACCTGCAGGAAAAGGAAAAAAAAAATTTCAAAGAATTCCAAATACACATCCCCTCCAAGACTTAAAAATACATTTCACCAATGAAGACCTTATTCTGGTTTATGGGTTCTGCTCATGTCCCATATTCCTTTTTTCCCTTTATGCATGCAGTTTTGCATTGTAAGTGTTTTTTTAGTCTTCACACTTATAAGGATACAGCTATTTTGTTTAATACAGTGCTTGACAGCGAGGACCCCCAACCAAGCTGCAGCTGTTTGTGGGGTACATAGTGGTTATGGTGTTCAACGTGGTGCTTACGGTACTCAAGGATTACTAGGAAGCAGCGTTTGGTGGAGGTACCCAGTCGGGGTGCCAGGCGGTCCGTCACACCAGCAATGTGCAAGCTCTCCATGTTGAATAGGGGCTACATAAGTCCAGTCTTTCCCAGGCCAAGTTCTCCCTTAGAAATGTTTTTTTTATACATTTTTTAAGTCCTGACTTTCTCAGGCCAAGTTCTCCCGAGAGCTCCAGGCTTGAGACAAAAATGAGGTCAGGTCTACCCCACCATTCCCAGGCACCATTTCACGGGGACAGGCACTTTTTCAGGTAGGTACCCCTGAGCGACGTGCGTGCGAGAACTGGACAACAATAGTCCGGGACAGCCTCGAGGAGTTAAAATTTTGAACAGCAGGCGGGGGACTCTGGCCGATTCTTCCATACTGACAGGCAGTTTTCCCCCCTGGTATCGAAATCTGGCCTCCTCAACCTCCCCTCACCCCGGGAGCCAGTCAGGCAGAGGAAGGGAGCCTGCCCTGGGCACCCTGCATCCTTAGTGGCTTCCCCCCGGCAGAAAATGGTAACTGATGCCACGGGCGCCAGCTTGCCCCCAGCCTCCTGGGGCTGGGGGGGGGCAGGAGGCCTGTCCTGGGCCCCCCGCACCTCCAGTGGCCAAAAATGATAAGGGACGCCACGGGCCCCAGCTCACCCCCAGCCTCCCGGGACCGGGCAGGCAGGGGAAGGGAGCCTGCCCCGGGCCCCCCGCACTACCGGTGGGCGCAAACGATGAGGGATGCCATGGGCCCCAGCTCGTCCCCATCCTCCCTGGGCCAGGCAGGCAGGGGAAGGGAGCCTGACCCAGGCCCCCTGCACCCCTGGTGAGCGTAAACGATAAGGGACGCCACGGGCCCTAGCTCGCCCCCAGCCTCCCAGGGCAGGGCAGGCAGGGGATGGGAGCCTTCCCCCGGCCACCTCTACTCCCAGTGGCGCCCCCCTACCTACTCCAATCGATCTAGCTCCCCGCACCTGAGTGGGGGAAGAGGCATTCGCTCAGGCATTGCCTGGTGGCTCCCTGCGACAGGCACCCTCTCCCCTCCGCCGTGGTCCCCGGGCTCTGCCAGGGAGGGTGCTTCCCGTCCACGAGCCGAGCGCTCTCCTCCCTGTCCGGCGACCTCCACCTGAGTTTCCTCCCAAGCCCTGCCAAGAAGCAGAGGCCGTGGAGAAGGCCAGCGCTGCAGCCCGGCAAGGTCCCCCCCTCACCCGCAAATTACAGGTCTCTTACGAGGCCCTGTAATTGGAACGAGTACACTTTAAATCCTTTAACGAGGATCTATTGGAGGGCAAGTCTGGTGCCAGCAGCAGCGGTAATTCCAGCTCCAACCACTGGGGTGGGAGGAGTTTGCCGCTGCTGTTGGAGAGTGAGCTGCTCTGTGTTTGCTCTGAGTGTTCCCAGGACCACACCCGTTTGTGGCTGCTTTTGGAGCTTGATTTCTAGGCTTTGGATTACTACAGCGGGGGGCTCTGCCTGGGCCTAGGCAAGCATGGCCTTCGGGCCTTCCTCCCCAGCCTGGGGATGGAAGGTAAGATTGGACGAACTACAGGCCGGGCTGGCCTTTGGGGAAGGTAAGGCGGATACCAGGGGCCTGTCCTGGACTGAATACCAGGCCCTCTCCCGGCAAATCCGTAGCCAGGTCTCCCAGTTGGAAGAACTGGCGGGGGGATGTCTAGAAAGCTTGTTACCTGGAAAAAGGGAGTGGGGGTCCCCCAGGGAGTCACGGCCCATACAAGGGCCGATATCCAGCTGCTCTCTGGGTTGCTGGCAGAGTGCCGTGAACTTGCCAGCGAGGGCCTCCACTTCCTGGAGCACCCCCCCCCCCTTCACTGGAGGTGGGAGAGGGTCCCGAGGAGACCCCCCCTGAGGTGGCTGGTACCAGCGAGGCCCCTCAGGCCTCCCTCACCTATGCTGCTGCTGCTAGGGGTGAGGGGTTTGAGGCTAGGGCCTTTAAGGGACTGCCTTCTGACAGGCTCCGGGGTCTGCTTGTGTCCCTGAAGGCCCAGCACGCCGAGGCGAATTCGGGCCTAGCTGGGGTCCGGGCAGAGCTGAGGGAGCAGAGGGACAAGTCAAGCAGGACCTCAAATCACAAAAGAGGTCCTGTGAGGGCTATAATCGCCCAGAAAAAGTTGGAGGAGCAGCGTTTGTCTTATACCTTGCTCCAGACTAAAGCAAAAATGTCAGAAATCCAGGCCATCCTGCAGCAGCGTGCCAAGGACGCTGTGAAATCCAGGAGGCAGAGGGCCATTGGGGGTAGGAGGGACATGTCCCCAGGTGAGGAGTCCAGCAAGGACTCGGATTCCAACTCCCATCACTCGCCTGGGGTGCCATGTACCTCTGCCCTTGCTACACCAGGGGGCGCAGCTGAGACAGAGAGGAAGGCCAGAGAGAAGGACAGTGAAGCGGAGTGGGAAGGAGAGAAAGGAGAAGAGTGGAAGCTGAGAGTGCAGGACAGGGGTCAAGGGCTGATTAAGGAGTCTCTCCTCAAGTTTGGAAACAAACTTGGGGAGGGCTCCGTTAAAGAAAAGAATAAGAAGAAGAAGAAGAAAAAGAAGAACATCGCCCGGCGTCAGCTTGAGACCTCTGTCAGAGGGTCTGGAGATTCCATGGAGGAGGGTGAGTGCTCTAATGCTGAGTTTGTTTACAATGAAGATGATTTTCAGGCCTTGCAGAAGCCTGGGTCCAGGGATACTAACCCTACAGGTGGCAACACCTGTATGCCCCAGGAATCTGCACACCCTGCCTCTGTGGAAGTATCTGGACCCCCCGCCGCCCTCCATGGTGACAGGGAGACCATCCCCGACGGTACTATGGCGAGTACCGGTGATCCCATGGAGGGGCCCTTCCCTTCCTCCCTTCCCTCTGACCTTCCTCTTCATGTGGTTGCGCCCTCTGGAGTAGCTGGATCCTCTGCCTCCTGTCCTCAGGCGGCTGCTGGGCAGGATGGCACTGGAGGGATCTACCCTGATGTTGCCCCCCACTCTGATTATGTTGCCCCCCACCCTGATAATGTTCCTTCTCACCCCGGTATTGTTGCCCCCGCCCCTGATACTGTTGCCCCCCACCCTGATTATGTTACCCAACCCGGTACTGTTACCCCTGCCCCTGGTGTTGTTGCCCTGGTACTGCTGTTCTGCCCTGGTACTGTTGCCCCCGCCCCTGGTACTGTTGCCCCCGCCCCTGGTACTGTTGCCCCTGCCCCTGGTTATGTTGCCCCCCAACCCAGTATTGTTGCCTCTGCCCCTGGTGTTGGTTAGGTTGCCCCCGCCCCAGGTTCACACGGTTTAGCTGGCACACAGGTGGCGGGCACGAGCACGGGCACCCTGGCAAAGGGTGCCAAGGTTGTAAATATCTTAGATACACAAGCAGGTGCACGGGTTCCCCTTAGGCACTCCCAGGTTGTCGCCCAGGGTTCTGGTGTGACCGAGGCCTCTGGTTCAGCGGGGGGAATCCGCCCAAACCATTCCCAGGCGGCGGGTCCCAGTGTGCCCAATGCTTGGGCATCTGGGCCACCTCGCCTCTCTGCGGGCGGGCCTGCTACGCGTCCTCAGGTTTCCTTTGGGAACAGGAGGAACGTGGTACAGCTCATCTGTGGGGGTGAGACCCAGGTGCCTGACAGAAGCTGGCTGGTGACTCGACTAAAGGATATGGGGTTTGCGCCCGTGGACCTGTACGCGCTCATCCATGCCTCGGGCACCCGGGAGTTCGACGTTTCATTTATGACGTCGCAGCTCCTGGATCGCTTCTGGGCTGGGTGGGAGGCGGCCAGGTCTGTACAGGGTACAAAGTGGGCAGGATTCACCGCTGTGGCCATTTCTCGCCAGGGTCTTAAGAAGGTCACCTTCCTGGTGAGAAATGAATCCATCCTCATAGCGGACATCCTAGTATGGACAAAGAGGTTTGGGGATGTTAAATCCCCACCAGTTAAGATGTTAGATGAGGATGGGATATGGACAGGCGGGTGGACTGTTTCAGTGTTGCTGCGAGAGATTTGAGGTGTCACACAGCATATGCCAAACAGCTTTTTCATCGGGGCTGACCGGGTATTCTGTTTTTACCCTGGTCAGCCCAGGGTGTGCCATAAGTGCGGATCGTACAGGCATTACAGCAATGCCTGTACGGTCCTCAAATGCACTATGTGCGGCGCTGTGGGGCACCTCCAGGACAACTGCATGGAGATCCGATGTCATCTGTGCTCAGAGATGGGTCATACGTACCGCACCTGCCCCGAAGCCCAGCATAATGTGGAGTCCATCTGGAGTCAGGAGCCGGTTGAGATGGACTCTGCTGGGTTAGGGGTTCAGGTAGCGAAGCCATCTACGGTGCCCATTTCTGGCACAGGGGTCTCCCTGCCCCAGCAACAGCCCATCCTCCCCTCGGTCTCAGTACCATCTCGAGACCCTGGGGTGGCAACTAGTTCACGTCCCCCCACGAAAAGTGTGACTAGAGTTGGCACATCCCCCACAGCCATTATGGCTCCCCCTAGGCCCCCCCCTCCTAAACCCTCCACGGTAAAGGTTATCCCTACTGCAAAGTCCTCAGATGCACGGCCCCTAGATGCACAGTCCCTAGAGTGGAGGCCCTCCAAGGCCTCCGCGCTGCCCGCTCCCCGGACGACCACCGAACCACCTGCGGCGAAACCCCCGAAAGGGGGGGACGCCACTTCTAAGGGCGGTGGGGCAAAGGGGTCTTCCTGCTCTTCGGGCTTGCAGGAGGCCCCAGTGCCCGTATCTAACAGGTACGAGGCACTGTCTGCCAGCTGGGCCGACTGTGAGCTCGAGGAGGAGATGGCGAACCTCCCCGGGCTGGGGGCAGAGGTTGAGGTCAGACAGGAGGTACCTCTGAGAGACGATCGGCCACTGTATCCCGGAGTCTCAGTGAAGAGGTACTGCTCCGACACGGAGGAGGAGGGGGATAACAGAAAGAAGGAAAAGTCTCCTTGTGCTTAATACCCTTATGGCGACATTTCCTATACTCTCTGTGGCTACGGTGAATGTTAATAGCATTATGTCCAGCAGGGCCCGCTTTCTGGTTTTTGACCACCTCAGCCGGGCTCCGTACAATGCCATCTTAGTACAGGAGACCCGTCTGGAAACCCTTGCGGCCCTGCACGCTGCAAAGCTGGACTGGAGATGGGGGCCCTCCTACTTCTCTCTAGCCACAGAGAGATATGGGGGAATCACAATCCTATTTAAGGACGTTGATGTTGTTGATGTTCGCATCAACAGGGTTATTGAGTTGCAGAAAGGACGTTGTGTGGTTTTAGACGTCTCACTGGGCAGGCAACCTCTCAGGATGATTAACATCTATGGCCCCCAAACAAAGTGGGAGAGGAAGTGCCTGTTTAGTGAGATCGAGCCTTACCTTTATACATCCCAGCAACTCCTGTTTGGCGGTGATTTCAACACCATTACTAGGCCTCAAGACAGGAGAGGCGCCACTCAGAGGCTGGGGTATGACTCAATTTTTCTAAACAAGATGGTTAGTCAGGCTGGATTGGTCGATGTGTGCCTTCACCACACTCCCAATCCCACGGGTGGGTACATGTATCACCGAGGTAGCTGTCAGAGTAGGATAGATAGGTTTTTCTTTAAGGAGAATTTCGCGGTGACGGCACCCGTGCTTACGCCGGTGGAGTTCTCCGACCATCACATTTTATCTTGCGAGTTGAACGTCCATAGTACCCCACCTAAAGATAGAGGGATCTGGCGGCTAAATTCAGACCTCCTGGTGGAACAGAGGGTTCAGCAAGCCTTCATGGAATTCTTTCACGATCAGATGACACTGGCCGATTTAGGCCAAACGAAGTCTGAGTGGTGGGAGATGGTGAAGGCCAGAACTCGAGGGCTGTTTCGCAATCTCGCCCAAAACATGCAGTCCTCTAGGTATAAGATGTATCTGAGCTTGCTTGGGAGGTTGGATGCCTTGATCTCACAGGGAGGTGACCCCGAGGACATTGCGGCGGTCAAGGCCCTGATGAGGAGTTATCAGTATGATAGGTACGCCTCCCTTGTAAAGGAGAGGGATCATGGGTCTTACCACTCGGCCGATCCTTATCTCAGCTGCAAGCGGAAGGAAGGTACCAAAACTATCTCTGGTCTGCGGGACACCAACGGGGTTCTCGAGGAGTCTCCTCGCGGGATTCTGAAGGTGGTCCGCCACTACTATATTGAGCTCCTCGGTAAGGGCAGCCCCCAATGTGCCGAGGGGGGAACATCACGTAGGAGAGAGGCTGATAACTTCTTAAGCGAGCTCACCCTCCCTGAGCATAGCGACCTCTCTTTTGACGAGTTGGTTAGCGAGATCACCATAGAAGAGGTCACAGAGAGTATCATGCAGCAGAACAAGAATAAGTCGCCAGGTCCTGATGGTCTGACGGCTGAGTTTTACCAACAGCTCTGCGACCTCTTGGCCCCTCATCTAACCGAGGTGTTTAATTAGAGCTTAGCTCAAGGATTATTGCCGCCCTCGATGAGGACTTCTGCTCTGATCTTGCTGACCAAGCCGAACGTGATCGACACTGCGGATATGGGGAACTGGCACCCCATATCCCTGCTAAATGTCGACAGGAAGGTCCTGGCAAAGATTATGATGAAACGGGTACAGGGCCTAGCGAGGCGTATCCTATCCACCTCCCAGTACTGTTCAATCGGAGGACTGTCTTCAATGCCGTTTTCGAGGTCAGGGAAGCTCTCGAGAAGTGCAGGGCCGGAGGAAGGGGGATATACCTTCTGGCACTTGATCAGTCCAAAGCTTTTGATCGGGTCGATCACCGTCATCTATGGTCAGTCTTGCGGAAGTATGGCTTGCCGGGTAAATTCATCAATTGGGTCATCACCTTGTACAGAGGGGCCGAGAGCTTCGCTCTTGTGAACGGGTGGAGGGGCAGGACGTTTAGGATCCGATCCGGGGTCCGGCAAGGCTGTCCCCTCAGCCCGCTCCTGTACGTGTTTGCAGTCGATCCCTTCATCCGAAGGGTCAAGGCGAGCACGTTACAGGGAGTGGCCAGGGCTCCGGAGAGGCCTTTACGGGTAGTTGCCTATGCAGATGACATCTCCATTGTGGTCTCCGATACACAGGAGGCCACGGAGGTGGATGATTTAATCTTAGCGTATTCTGCCGCTTCAGCCTCTCGTGTCAACAGGGACAAGAGCGGAGTTTTCTGGTGCGGGAAGGAGGGGGACCAGTTCCCTCTTCCAGACTGTTTCCCGCGGGCCCAGTCTGAAATTAAAATCTTGAGGGTGATGTTCAGACCAGGGGATCTGGCTCTCAGGAACTGGTCCGAACGGCTTGCCGTAGCTTCCAGCAAGGTGGAGGAGAGCCACAGGTGGAAACTGACGTACAGAAAACGGGTGAAACTGATCAAAACCTATGTGCTGACCGTATTCGGTTACGTCAGTAACATCTTCCTTTTGCCCAGGTCCCTTCACGCTCGGATGTTTGCGCTGTTCTTCCGCATGTTGTGGGGGAACAGACTGAACCTCATCAAGAGAGAGGTCACTTACCTGGCCAGAAAGGACGGGGGTCTGGCCATGGTCAACCCCATCGTCTTCTTTAATAACACCTTCCTGAAAAGGAACTTCGGGGCTCTCCTGAAGGACGAGCAGCCTGGCTGGGTATGTATGTTCAGGGAGTGGGTTGCACCTTTCCTGGTAGACTGGTTTAGCGGCGGGAAGGTGAAGAGCATGAGAGTTCGGCATTCCAGCTATCTCCCGACTTCGGTCATCGAGGGAGTGCGGATTCTCCGCAGGTGGAGCGTCACGGTGGAGGAGGTTCGGGACTCTCCCAAGAGGCTTCTCGACGGGAGGGTCCTGGCCACCCACTTTGGCGTTCAGCTTGCTTTGAAGGACTGCCAGTCAAGTACTCTTGCCTCGGGGTTGAAAAACCTCAACTCCAGGCGCCTTCCGGAGAAATTCCGAGACTTGGCGTTTCTCTCCTTCCACAGTAGACTTTACGTTCGAGGGAACTTGAAGTACAGGAACATAACGGATCGCGGTTGTCCTCGGGTGGAATGTTCCGGGGAAGTGGAGTCCATGGACAACTTCCTCCTCGAGTGCCCCTTTAATGTACAGGTCTACAAAGAGGTCTCAGCCGCCTTGGGCATCGAAATATAACACCGAAAGGGCCTCTATGGATCCCACCATTTGGCAGCGTTTGTGGCGAAATCTCAAGGTCCACCCGCCTTGAACCGCTCCATGGGCGTCCTTGTCTTGATGAAGGGAATTCCAAATCTATCTTCACCTTTCCCCCTTAGATTTTGAACTTGTTTTCTTTTCATGGAAGGCTGCCACACTTTAGCAGACGAGTACCTTCCTCTGTGTCTAGGTAGGGTAGTATAGTGTAGTTATGTTATGGTAATGGTTATGCACGGGTTATTTTGGTATTGTTTGGGTTAGGGTGGGTTTCTTGTATGATAATTATGTATATGGACAAATTGAACAATTTGCTTTGGGTGGGGGGTAAAACACTGGGTGTCTTTGTGGACGGAGGGATGGACTCCTTGAGGGTGGTGGGTTATGAACAAAATGGAATTCATGTGGGTGGTGGGTTTATGGACAAGAAATTGATTTCATGTGGGTGGTGGGTTTTTGGGTGTGATGAACTGAGAAATGGACTCCATGTGGGTGGTGGGTTTTGGGGGCTGGACGGAGGGATGGACTCCATGAGGGTGGTGGGTTCATGGACAAGAAATTGATTTCATGTGGGTGGTGGGTTTTTGGGTGTGATGAACTGAGAAATGGACTCCATGTGGGTGGTGGGTTTTGGGGGATGGACGGAGGGATGGACTCCATGAGGGTGGTGGTTTTGGTGTTGATGGACGGAGGGATGGACTCCATGTGGGTGGTGGGTTTGTTTATGTTTATTTAAGTAGGTATATGGTTTGTGTTTTAGCTGGCTGTGGACTTTAGGTCAGTTGGGTCCCCCCCCTTTGTTACCCCTTATAATGTTATGTAGAGCTCCGTAATGGAGCATTTTGGCCCTTTATTTCCCCTCCCCAGTGCTCCATGAGGTAATGGAGCCCCCCCCGCCTTTTAATTCTCCCCTTATGATTAGTCCCCCTTTATGTTAATCCCTCTCCCAGTTGTCTTCCAGTTAATTCATGTCGGTATGAGCTCACTCCCCTATTTATGTTTGAGTTAAGTATTATTCCCGTTATGTTGTTTCCTTTGTTGGTTTATGTTTCTGCTAGTTGCAATTGTTATTTTGTTATTATTACTTTGTTATTTATGAAGCTTTTTCATAATTCAAATAAAATATTCCAGCTCCAACCACTGGGGGCTGGAAGGTGGGAGGTGGCTGGAGGTGTGTTGGAACTGCTCCTGCAAGCTTGGAAGTTTTGGGCGTCGGCAGGAATTGTGGTTTTTCCCTTACTGTTTTTGGGCAGAGGATTTGCTGGACTTGGGGGCTCTGTCTGGGCATAACACAGCATGGCCCTCGGGCCTTCCTCCCCCGCCTGGGAATGGAAGGTCAGGCTGGATAAGCTGCAGGTAAGTCTGGCCTTTGGGGAGGGAAGACCTGATGCTGGGAGCCTGTCTTGGACTGGACATCAGGCCCTCTCCAGGCAGGTGAGACACCAGGTCTCCCTGCTGGAAGAACTGGCGGGGGGATGGCTGGCAAGCTAGCTGTGTGGAAGAAGGGAGTGGGGGTCCCCCAGGCAGCCATGGCCCACACCAGGGCCGATATTCAGTTGCTCTCTGGGCTTCTCACTGAGTGCAGGGAGCTTGTCAATGCTTGCCTCCACTTTCTAGAGCAGCCCCCCCGCCGCTGGACGTGGGAGAGGGTCCCGAGGAGGTAGTTACCAACGTGGCCCCTCAGGACCCACTCACCTATGCAGAGGCGGCAAGGGGTGAGGGGGTTGAGGCTAGGGCTTCAGAGAGCTGCCTTCTGACAGGCTGCGTGGACTGCTGGGATCCCTGAAGGCCCAGCATGCAGAAGCGGACTCCGGCCTAGCTGCGGTCCAGGCAGGGCTCAGAGAGCAGTGGGAGAAATCCAACAGGGCCTCAAGCCACAAGCGAGGCCCTATGAGGGCCATCATTGCCCAAAAGAAAATTGAGGAGCAGCGGTTTTCTTGCAGTCTGCTCCAGGCTGAGACTAAAATGGCGGACATCCAGTCCGTCCTGCAGCAGCGAGCCAGGGTCGCTGTGAAGTCGAGGAGGCAGTGGGTCCTTGGGGGTAGAAGTGACGTCCCCAGGTGAGGAGTCTAGTTTGGAGTCGGAGGCTGACTCCCATCACTCACCTAGGGTGAAGCGTACCTCTCCCCCTGCTACACCATAGGGTACTGCATCACCTGCAGCAGTTGCAGGGAGGAAGGCCAGAGGGAAGAGGAGTAAAGCAGATCAGAAGGGAGAAGAATGGAGGCTGAATGTTGGGCAGGACAGGGGTCGAGGGTTGATCAAGGAGTCTCTCCTCAAGTTTGGGGATGAACTTGGGGAGGGCTCCGTTGGTAAGAAAAGAAAGAATGCAAGAACACTTATGTTCCCCTAAGTGTTATGGCCGCGGGTGCCTGGGCGGTCGGTGCCGTGGGTGCTGGGGGTGCCATGGGTAGCGGTTTTACCGTTGCAGCGGATGGCTGAGGCTAATGGGAGTGCAGGTGGCACTGTTAGTAATGTATATAATGTCAGTAATGTGAGCAATGTTAGTTTGTTTGGACCCATTGACCTGGATAGGGAGGTCCACAGCCAGTCACTCTCTGGTAACCCCTCTGGTTCCACTGCAAAACCCAAATTTGGTCCTGCCCCCCCGGTTCTGCTGCCCATCCTGGTGCCGCTGCCCCCACTGGTAATGATGCACCCCCCCCGTTTCTTCTGTTGGCGCCAGTACTGCTGGTACACATGTTAAGGGCACCCTGGCAAAGGGTGCCACTGTTGTTGTTAGGAATGTTACTATGGTTGGTTTACAGGTTGTTCCCCCTGGGCACTCCCAGGGTTCCAGTATGACCGAGGCCTCTGCCGGTCCTGCTGCAGGAGGAGTCCGCCCCATCCCTTCCCAGGTGGCGGGTCCCAGTGTGCCCAATGCTCGGGCATCTGGGCCACCTCGCTTTACCGCGGGCGGGCCTGCTGCACGTCCTCAGGTTCCCTTTGGGAACAGGAGGAACATCGTGCGGTTCGTCTGTGGGGGCGAGACCCAGGTGCCTGACAGAAGGTGGCTGGTGGCCCGCTTGAGGGATATGGGGATCGTGCCCGTGGACCTGAATGCTCTCATCCATGCTTCGGAAACCAGGGAGTTTGACGTCTCATTCATAACGTCGTAGCTCCTGGATCGTTTCTGGGCTGGGTGGGAAGCAGTCAGGTCTGCACAGGGTACGAAGTGGGCAGGATTCGTCGCTGTGCCCATTTCTCGCCAGGGTCTGAAGAAGGTTACCTTCCTGGTGAGGAATGAGTCCAACCCCATAGCGAATATTCTTGTATGGGCTAAGAGGTTTGGGGATGTCAAATACCCCCCAGTTAATATTCTAGATGAGGATGGGATATGGACAGGTGGGTGGACTGTCTCAGTGTTGCTGCGGGAGATAAGGTGTCACACAGCACATGCCAAATAGTTTTTTCATCGGCGCTGACAGGGTATCATGTTTTTACCATGGTCAGCCCAGGGTCACAAGTGTGGATCGTACAGGCATTACAGCAATGCCTGTACAGTCCTTAAATGCACTGTGTGGCGCTGTGGGGCACCTCCGGGATACCTGCAGGGAAATCCAATGCCATCTGTGCTCGGAGATGGGTCACAGACCTGCCCCGAAGCCCAGCATAATGTGGAGTCCATATGGAGTCAGAAGCCAGAGGAGATGGACTCTGCTGGGTTAGGGGATCAGGTTGCACGATCATCTGTGGTGCCCGTCTCTGACGCACGGGTTTCCCAGCCCCGGCCACTGCCCATTCTCCCCTCAGTCTCAGTTCCACCTCAGGATCCCGGGACGGCAACTAGCTCACGTCCCCTCACAAAGGTTGTTAGAGCAGGCACATCCTCCACTGCCATTATGGCTTCCCCTAGGCCCCCTCCTCACTCCACGGTTAAGGTTATCCCCTCTGAAAAGTCCCCAGGTGCACAGTCCCTAGTATGGTCCACAGTTAAAGGTAAGCATCCCCCTCCTGCCAAGGCCTTGACACTGCCCACATCCCTGAAGACTGCCAAGCCCCTTGCGGCAAAATCCTCGAAAGAGGGGGACGCCACTTCTCAGGGTGGTGAGGCAAAGGGGTCTGCCTCCTCTTCGTACGTGCGGGAAGCCCTGGTGCCTGTATCTAACCGGTACGAGGCGCTGTCTACCAGGAGTCTCGGTGAAGAGATACTGCTCCGATACATAGGAGCAGGGGATAAGAGAAGGAAGGGAAAGTCTCCTTACGCTTAATGCCCTTATGTCGTTTCCTATGCTTTCTCTGGCTACAGTGAATGTTAACAGCATTTTGTCCGGCAGGGCCAGATTTTTAGTTTACGACCACCTCAGCCGGGCTCCGTACAATGTCATCTTGGTACAGGAGACCTGACTGGAAACCCTTGTGGCCCTGCACGCTGCAAAGCGGGCCTGGAGATGGGGGCCCTCCTACTTCACTCTAGCCACAGAGAGATATGGGGGAATCACAATCCTATTTAAGGACGTTGATGTTCGCATCAACAGGGTTATTGAGTTGCAGAAAGGGCGTTGTGTGGTTTTAGACATCTCACTGGGCAGGCAACCTCTCAAAGTGGGAGATGAAGTGCCTGTTTCGAGGGATAGAGTCTTACCTCTATACATCCCAGCAAATCCTGTTTGGCAGTGATTTCAACACCATAACTAGGCCTCAAGATAGGAGAGGCGCCATTCAGAGGCTGTGGTATGACTCCATATTTTTGAATAAGATGGTTAGTCAGGCTGGATTGGTTGATGCGTACCTTAACCACGCTCCCAATCCCACTGGTGGGTACACTTATCACAGAGGTAGTTGCCAGAGTAGGATAGACAGGTTTTTCTGTAAGGAGAATTTCCTGGTGTCAGCACCCGTGCTTACGCCGGTAGGGTTCGCCGACCATCACATTTTGTCTTGTGAGTTGAACGTCCACGGCACCCCACCTAAAGGTAGAGGGATCTGGCGGCTAAATTCAGACCTCCTGGTGGAACAGAGAGTACAGCAAGCCTTCAAAGAATTCTTTCACGACCAGATGATATTGGCCGATTTCGGCCAAACGAAGTCTGAGTGGTGGGAGATGGTGAAGGCCAGGACTCTAGGGCTATTTCGCAGTCCACTAGGTACAAGATGTATCTGAGCTTGCTTGGGAGGTTGGATGTCTTGATCTCGCAGGGTGGTGACCCCGAGGACGTTGCGGCGGTAAAGGCCCTGATGAGGCGTTATCAGTATGACAGGTACGCCTCCCTTGTAAAAGAGTGGGATCATGGGTCTTACCACTCGCCCGATCCTTATCTCAGCTGCAAGAGGAAGGAAGGTACCAAGTCCATCTCTAGTCTGCGAAGCACCGACGGGATCCTCGAGGAGTCTCCTCGCGGGATTCTGAATGTTGTACGTGACTTCCATATTGAGCTCCTCGGTAAGGGCAGACCCCGATGTGCCGAGGCGGGAACATCCCGTGGGAGAGAGGTGGATGACTTCTTGAACGAGCTCACGCTCCCTGAGTATAGCGACCTCCCTTTTGACGAGTTGCTTAGCGAGATCACCATAGAAGAGGTCACAGAGTATCCAACAGCAGAACAAGAGTAAGTCGCTAGGTCCTGATGGCCTGACGGCTGAATTTTACCAACAGTTCTGCGCTCTCTTGGCCCATCATTTAACTGAGGTGTTTAATGAAAGCTTGGCTCGAGGATTATTGCCACCCTTGATGAGGACTTCTGCCCTGATCTTGCTAACCAAGCCGAACGTGCTCGACACAGCGGATGTGGGGAACTGGCGCCCCATATCCCTTTTAAATGTCGACAGGAAGGTCCTGGCAAAGATCTTGTTGAAGAGAGTACAGGGCCTAGCGAGGCGTGTCCTGTCCACCTCCCAGAAAAGTCTGGTGCCAGCAGCTGCGGTAATTCCAGCGCCAACCTCTGGGGGCTGGAGAGTGCAAGCTTGCTGGTCGTGCTTCACAGCAGCTCCTACTTCCGTGGAAGCCTGTGGTATTGCCTGAAGTTACCCCTGATTTCCCTGCACCTTTTCTGGGTGGAGTACTTACTGGACTTGGGGGCTTTGCTTGGGCCTAAACAGCATGGCCCTCGGGCCTTCCTCCCCAGCCTGAGGATGGAAGGTAAGGCTGGCAGGTATCCAGCTGCTCTCTGGGTTGCTGGCAGAGTGCACCGAACTTGCCAGCGATGGCCTCCACTTCCTGGAGCAGCCCCCCCCGTCGCTGGATGTGGGAGAGGGTCCCGAGGAGGTAGTCCCTGAGACCCCCCCCTGAGGTGGTTGGTACCAGCGAGACCCCTCAGGCCTCCCTCACCTATGCTGCTGCTGCTAGGGGTGAGGGGTTTGAGGCTAGGGCATTCAGTGGACTGCCTTCTGACAGGCTCCGGGGTCTGCTTGCATCCCTGAAGGCCCAGCACGCCGAGGCGGATTCGGGCCTAGCTGGGGTCCAGGCAGAGCTCAGGGAGCAGAGGGAGAAATCTAGCAGGACCTCTAATAACAAAAGGGGTCCTATGAGGGCCATCCTAGCCCACAAAAAACTGGAGGAGCAGCGGCTTTCTTACACCTTGCTCCAGACTGAATCCAAAATGGTGGAAATTCAGTCCATCCTGCAGCAGCGTGCAAAGGAGGCAGTAAAGTCAAGGAGGCAGAGGGCCCTTGGGGGTAGGAGGGACATGTCCCCAGGTGAGGAGTCCGGTAAGGAATCGGATGCAGACTCCCATCACTCACCTGGGGTGCAATGTACCTCTACCCAAGCTACACCAGGGGGCGCAACTGAGACGACAGAGAGGAAGGCCAGAGAGAAGGAGAGTGAAGCGGAGAGGGAAGAAAAGAAAGGAGAAGAATGGAGGCTGAAAGTCGGGCAGGACAGGGGTCGAGGGCTGATTAAGAAGAGGAAGAAAAAGAAAAACATCGCCCAGCGTCAGCCTGAGACCCCTGTCAGGGGGTCTGGAGAATCCACGGAAGAGGGTGAGTGCTCCCCCGCTGAGTTTGTGTATCATGAGGAGGCCTTCCCGGCCTTGCAGACACCTGGGGCCAGGGATACTAACCCCACAGGTGGCAACACCTGTGTGCACCAGGAGTCTGCCCGCCCTGCCTCTGTGGATGTATCTGGACCCCCCACCGCCCTCCATGGTGACAGGGAGACCATCCCCGCCGGTACTGTGGCGGGTACCGGTGATCCCATGGAGGGGCCCTTCCTCTTCCCCCTTCTCCCTTCCCATTCCCTCCCTTCCCTCTGACTTTCCTCTCAATGTGCCACTGGTGCCGGTTCCGCGGGTGCCGGTACCGCGGATGCCCGGGGTGCTGCGGGTACCGGTTCCGCGGGTGCAGGTGACTCCCATCATGCCAAGCCAGCAGTCCCACTTGAGAGGACCACCAGTGGAGGTAAGAAATTTATTAATAGCTCTCTGTATGGCCCCACTGGTGGTTTTGGGATAGCTGGGGATGATGGGAGTAGGTACAGCAATGTCCACAGCCAGTTACATTCAAATTATAATTCTTTTGCCCCCCTGGTTTCCCCGCCCCCCCCCCCGGTTCCGCTGGTGGCCCCCCTGATTCAGTTGGTGCCCCCCTGGTTCTATTATTCCCCCTGATCCCTCTGGTACTCTCCCAGGTTCCGCTGGAGCTACCGCTGGTGTTCCCCCTGGTCCAGTTAACCCCCCTGGTTCAGTTGGTGCTCCCACTGGTTCTGTGGTTCCCCTTGATCCCTCTGGTGCCCTCCCAGGTTCCGCTGGTGCCCCTGATGGTGCTCCCCCTGGTTCAGCTGCCCCCCATTATGCCGGTACACGTCATAGTAATGTTGCCCCCCTTCCTGGTAATGTTGCTCCCCTCCCTGGTTCTCATGTTGGCACACTGGTTACGGGCACGGGCACCCTGGCAAAGGGTGCCAAAGCTATAAATTTTGTTGGTGCACAAGTTGGTTCACAGGTTCCCCCTAGGCACTCCCAAGTTGTCACCCGGGGTTCTGGTGGGACCGAGGCCTCTGCAGGTCCTGCGGGGGGAATCCGCCCCACCCCTTCCCAGATGGCGGGTCCCAGTGTGCCCAATGCTTGGGCATCTGGGCCACCTTGCCTCTCAGTGGGCGGGCCTGCTGCGCGTCCTCAGGTTTCCTTTGGGAACAGGAGGAACATGGTACGGCTCGTCTGTGAGGGCGAGATCCAGGTGCCTGACAGAAGGTGGCTGGTGACTCGACTAAAGGATATGGGGTTCGCACCCGTGGACCTGTATGCTCTCATCCATGCCTCGGGCACCCGGGAGTTTGATGTCTCATTTATGACATCGCAGCTCCTGGATCGTTTCTGGGCTGGATGGGAGGCTGCCAGGACTGCGCAGGGCACAAAGTGGGCAGGATTCACCGCTGTGCCCATTTCTCTCCAGGGTCTAAAGAAGGTCACCTTCCTGGTGAGAAATGAGTCCATCCCCATAGTGGACATCCTCGTATGGACTAGGAGGTTTGGGGATGTTAAATCCCCACCAGTTAAGATCTTGGACGAGGATGGGATATGGACAGGTGGGTGGACTGTCTCAGTGTTGTTGCGGGAGATACGAGGTGTCACACAGCATATGCCAAATAGTTTCTTCATCGGGGCTGACAGGGTATCTTGCTTTTACCCTGGTCAGCCCAGGGTATGCCACAAGTGACGATCGTACAGGCATTTCAGCAATGCCAGTACGGTCCTTAAGTGCACTATGTGCGGCGCTGTGGGGCACCTCCGGGACAGCTGCAGGGAAATCCGATGCCATCTGTGCTCAGAAATGGGTCACACGTACCGCACCTGCCCCGAAGCCCAGCATAATGTAGAGTCCATATGGAGTCAGGAGCCGCTGGAGATGGACTCTGCTGGGTTAGGGGATCAGGATGCAGGAACATCTACATCTACATCCCCCTCCCTCCAAGGCCTCGGCACTGCCCGCATCACGGAAGACCGCCAAGCCCCCTGCAGCGAAACCCTCGAAAGAGGGGGACGCCACTTCTCAGGGTGGTGAGGCAAAGAGGTCTCCCTCCTCTTCGTGCTTGCAGGAGGCCCCGGTGCCCGTATCCAACCGGTACGAGGCACTGTCTACCAGCTGGGCTGACTGTGAGCTCGAGGAGATGGCGAACCTCCCCGGGGTGGGGACAGAGGTTGAGGTCGGACAGGAAGTACCTCTGAGACGACGTTCCACTATATTCCCGAGTCTCTGTGAAGAGGTACTGCTCCGATACGGAGGAGGAGGGGGATAACAGAAGGAAGGGAAAGTCTCCTTATGCTTACTGCCCTTATGGCGATGTTCCCTATGCTCTCTGTGGCTATGGTGAATGTAAACAGCATTTTGTCCAGCAGGGCCAGATTTCTGGTTTATGACCACCTCAGCCGGGCTCCGTACAAAGTCATCTTGGTATAGGAGACCCGGCTGGAAACCCTCGCGGCCTTGCACGCTGCAAAGCGGGACTGGAGATGGGGGCCCTCCTACTTCTCTCTAGCCACAGAGATATGGGGGGATTGCCATCCTATTTAAGGAAGTTGATGCTGCAAAAAGGACGCTGTGTGGTTATAGATGTGTCGCTGGGCAGGCAACCTCTCCGTATCATCAACATCTATGGCCCCCAAACCAAGTGGGAGAGGAAGTGCCTGTTTAGCGAGATAGAGCCTTACCTGTATACATCCAAGCAAATTCTGTTTGGCGGTGATTTTAACACCATCACTAGGCCTCAGGACAGGAGAGGCGCCACTCAGAGGCTTGGGTATGACTCAATTTTTCTAAATAGAATGGTTAGTCAGGCAGGATTGGTGGATGCGTACATTCACCACGCTCCCAATCCCACGGGTGGTTTCACGTATCACCGAGGTAGTTGCCAGAGTAGAATAGATAGGATTTTTGTTAAGGAGGATTTCCCGGTGACGGCACCTGTGCTTACGCCGGTGGAGTTCTCCGACCATCACATTCTATCTTGTGAGTTGAATGTCCGCAACACCCCATCTAAAGGTAGAGGGATATGGCGGCTCAATTCAGGGAGGTGGATGATTTCTTGAGTGGGATCACGCTCCCTGGGAATAACGACCTTCCTTTGGATGAGTTGGTCAGTGAGATCACCATAGAAGAGATCACAGAGAGTATCATGCAGCAGAACAAGAATAAGTCGCCAGGTCCCGATGGCCTGACGGCTGAATTCTACCAGCAGTTCTGCACTCTCTTGGCCCCTCATCTAACCGAGGTGTATAATGAGAGCCTGGCTCAAGGATTATTACCAGCCTCGATGAGGACTTCTGCCCTGATCTTACTGACTAAGCCAAACGTAGTCGACACTGCGGATGTGGGGAACTGGCGACCCATATCCCTCCTTAACGTCGACAGGAAGGTTCTGGCAAAGATCTTGATGAAACATTTACAGGGCCTGTCGGGTAGCGTCCTATCCACCTCCCAGTACTGTGCGCTTGGGGGTCGAACTGTCTTCGATGCCGTTTTCAAGGTCAGGGAAGCTCTTGAGAAGTGCAGGGCTGGAGGGAGGGGCACTTGATCAGTCCAAGGCTTTTGATCGGGTTGATCACCGTTATCTATGGTCAGTCTTGCGGAAGTATGGCTTTCCCAGTAAATTCATCAATTGGATCATCACCTTTTATAGGGGGGCCGACAGCTTCGCTTTTGTAAACGGTTGGAAAGGCAGAGCATTTGGGATCCGATCTGGAGTCCGGCAAGGCTGTCCTCTCAGCCCGCTCCTGTATGTATTCGCGATCGACCCCTTTATAAGGGCAATCGACGGGAGTGCGCTACAAGGAGTGGCCAGGGCTCCGGAGAGGCCTTTACGGGTGGTAGCCTACGCTGATGACATCTCCATTGTGGTCTCCAATACTCAGGAGTCCGCTTTGGTAGATGAAATGATTCACGCGTACTCTGCCGCTTCTTCCTCTCAGGTCAATCTTGGGAGTGGTGTTCGGGCCAGGGGATCTGGCTCTCAGAAACTGGTCCGAACGGCTTGCTATAGCTTCCAGCAAAGTGGAGGAGAGCCATCGGTGGAAACTGACCTATAGAGAGCGGGTGAAACTGATCAAAACCTATGTGCTGACTGTATTCGGTTACGTCAGTAACATCTTTCTTTTGCCCAGATGCCTTCACGCTCGGATGTTCGCTCTGTTCTTTCGCATGTTGTGGGGGAACAGGCTGAACCTCATCAAGAGAGAGGTCACTTACCTGGCCAGGAAGGACGGGGGTCTGGCCATGGTCAACCCCATAGTCTTTTTTAATAACACTTTCCTGAAAAGGAATTTTGGGGCTCTCCTGAAGGACGAGCCGCCTGGCTGGGTATGTATTTTCAGAGAGTGGGTTGCACCTTTCCTGGTGGACTGGTTCCAGGGCGGGAGAGTAAGGAGTCTGAGAGTTCGGCACTCTCATTACCTCCCGACTTCGGTCATCGAGGGAGTGGGAATTCTTCGCATGTGGAATGTCACGGTGGATGAGATTCGGGACTCTCCCAAGAGGCTTCTCGACGGGAGGGTCTAGGCCACCCACTATGGCATTCAGTTCGCATTGAGGGACTGCCCGCCAAGTACTCTCGCCTCGGGGTTGAAAAACATCAACTCCAGGTGCCTTCCAGAGAAATACCGAGACTTGGCGTTTCTCTCCTTCCACGGTACACTCTACGTTAGAGGTAACTTGAAGTACAGGAACATCACGGATCGTGGTTGTCCTCGGGTGGAATGTTCCGGGAGAATGGAGTCCATGGACCACTTTCTCCTCGAGTGTCCCTTTAACGTACGGGTCTACAAAGAGGTCTCGGCCGCCTTGGGCATCCCCTGCTTATCCTGCTGGACTTACGCGGAGTGGGTGTACGGGACGTCCAACTCACGGGGGAGGGCCTTTAATTTGAGCATGCTTTTCGTAGTCAGTTCAGTAGTTAAGTATTTCACGGTGTCAGGTTTCTCTTCAGCGTAAAGACCTTTCCTGTCAGGAGGTGGTAGCAGATATTCTAAGAGCGGTTTGTGGGATCTATAACACCGAAAGGGCCTCTATGGATCCCTCCATTTGGCAGCGTTTGTGGCGAAATTTCAAGGTCCACCCGCCTTGAACCGTTCCATGGACGCCCTTGTCTTGGTAAAAGGAATTCAAAATCTATATTCACCTTTCCCCCTTAGATTTTGAAATTGTTTTCTTTTCAAGGAAGGCTGCCACACATTAGCAGATGAGTACCTTCCTCTGTGTATAGGTGTTTAAAAGAGTTTGGTTAAGTTATTTCGGTGCGGGTTTATTTGATATTGTTTGGGTTAGGGAGGGGGTGTGTTTCTTGGAAAAATTATATGAGACATTTTGAACAATTTGCTTTGGGTGGGGGGTAGGACACTGGGTGTTTATGGATGAACTCCTTGAGGGTGGTGGGTTTTGGTGTATGGACGGAGGGATGGACTCCATGTGGGTGGTGGGTTTGGGTGTACAAAGGACGGAGGGATGGACTCCATGTGGGTGGTGGGTTTTAATAGGTTTTTTTGGAAGGAGAAATGGACTCCAAACTTGTGGGTGGTGGGTTTGATATTATGGACAGAGAAATGGACTCTTTGCAGGTGGTGGGAAGGAATGAAGACTTTGTGGAAGGGTGGGTTTTGACTTTTTTTTTGGGTGGTGGGATAAGGTTTTTGTTGGGTGTCCTGTTATATCTGGCTGTGGACTATAGGTCAGTTGGGTTACTTATGATACTGCTTGCTGAGCTCCTAAATGGAGCATTCTGGGTCCCCCCCTCCCCTTTATTTAATTCCCCCTTCCCCTCCTTATGGTTTGTCCATGAAGTTAATGGACCCCTTTTCTGTTAATCCCTCACAGTTTCTTCATGAAAGTAATGAAGTCCCGCCCCATATTTAGTTACCCCTCCTTGGTTTCCCCCTTTTCAGTTATTCCCCCCCGGATGCTTCATGAGAAATGGGGCTCACCCCTCCCCCCCCCTTCAGATGTCCCCTTCTGGTGATTTATTTTTGATATGTATATTACACTGGATTTGTTTATGTTTATGGTTTGCGGGTTGCAATTTGTTTTTGTTTGGTTACTTTGTTACTTTTATAAATTATGTTACTTATGTTGCTTTTCTTACTAATAAAACAAATATTCCAGCTCCAACCACTTGGGGCTGGGAGTTTGAGACAGCAGGTTGTGAGTGGTTCAGGCTCCTGACTTCCAGGACCACACCCTGGGAGTTTGGCTTGCTAAGCCCAATTTGAAGCTCTTTTCTGGGCAGGCACTATGTCTTCAGGGCCTCCCTCCCCTACCAGGGGATGGGAGGACTGGAAGGTTTATTTGCAGAGCCTGAATTTCCTGAAAATACTTTGTTTTCTTGGACTGAACACCAAGCCCTCACCAGGACCACCAGGCAGCAGGTGAGCAAGCTGCAGGAACTGGAGGGGAGATTATACAAAAGACTTTGTGAATGGAAAAAGGGAGTGGGGGTACCCCATGGACCTGCAGGGGTTAATCACTCCAGCATAACTATGCTAAGTGGGCTGCTGACCCTATGCAGGGAAAAGGTGGCTGGAGGGCTCCACTTTCTGGCGTAACCCCCCCTCCCTTGGAGCTAATGGATACTAGCACCATGGAAGTGGCCCTGGAGGAGTCCCTGGAGGCAGAAGCTGAGGCTGAGGCAGTTGACCCCCCAGCCCAGTGCACCTATGCTGAGGCTGCTGGGAGTGGAGGGGTTACGGCTGCAAACATATGAGAGCTGCCTGCAGTGAAATTGTTAGCTTTATTAAGAGTATAAAGAAAAACACTCTGAAATTGACAGCAGTTTGTCTGCCTTACAGACTGAGCTAAAGACCTTAAGAATACAGTCTAGCAAGATGTCAAACCATAAGAGGCTCCCTATAAGAACCCTAATTGCTGAGAAAAAGATTTTAGAGCAGCAATTAGGCTTCAGGCTGCTCCACCTTGAGAAGCTAATTAAACAAACACAGGCAGTCATGCAGCAAAGACTGAAGGAGACAGCCAGGTTAGAGAGACAGGAGTCTCTGGAGGGTAGGAGGGATATTCCTACCAGTGGGGGGTCTGAGGGTGACCAGAATACCTCACCGGTGGGGAGACCCCCTCCCCCCTCAACCCCATCTGGGGGCCATGCGGCTGCTGCAGGTGGAAAAGTTGCAGAGAAGGAAGAGGAGTGGGGTGCAGAGGAGAGAGGTGAATGGAGGCTGAAGATTCCTGAAGCCAATACGAAGGAGCTCATTAAAGAGTCGCTGCTTACATTTGATACTGAGGATCTGGAAGAGGCAGTGGACAGCCGGGTGATAAAGAAAAAGTCCAGAAGCCCTGCTGACCACCAGCCTGAAGCCAGGATCCGCAGGGAGTCTGGGGGATCGGTGGGGAAGGGTGAGTACCCCTCAGGGTTTTCATACTCTGAGGAAGAGTTTCCATCTTTGCAGACCCCTGGGATACCTCAGAGGTCTGCCCACCCTGTTCCTGCCGATCTCTCTGGGCCCCCCATCGCCCTCCATGGTGACAGGGAGACCGCCCCCACTGGTGCTATGGCGGGCACCAGTGATCCCATGGAGGGGGCTTCCCTTTCATCCCTTCCCATTCCCTCCCTCCCCCCCCTCTGACCTTCCTTCTGCTGCTCCTTCCAAGAATGTGGCTGCCCCAGGTGCTGGCTCCAGGCAGGCTGCTGGTCCTCCCATGAGGTCTGCTCTGGCTGCTGTCTCTGGGCAGCCCCAGGATGAGTTTGATAGTGGCTCTGCCCCCTCACAGTATGTCAATGTAATGTCCATGTCTGGTATGGAAGCCCCTGTTAGTGTCCCTTTAATTGTTGTTGTCCCTTTAAATGTTATCCCTTTAAGTGTCCCTCTGAATGAAGTTTCTGTGTCAATGCCTGTCCCTATGTCTGGCCCCCTGGTCCCCCCACTGTGCTCTGGTGCCACGGGCGGGTTCCACGGGTGCGCATGGTGCCCGCGGGCGCTGTATGTGCCGCGGGTGCCCCTGGTGCGCGCGGGTGCGCAGTGTCCTCCCATCACCCCCAGCCGTCCGGCCATCTATGTGGGGCTGCTGGTGGAGCTGATTTGGGCTCTGCTGGGGGTCCTGCGCTGGCTGGGAATGGTGGGACTGGGGAGCTGGGCTATGTAAATGAGCCCACTGATCTGAATGCAGTTTATGAAGGTTTCGTCCGCAGCAAGGTGGCACCCTCTGCTGGGCAGTTGATTGTAAATAAAAGTGTTAGTATTTCTTATGTTGGTAAATCTGCTGGCTACTCTGGTCTCCCTACCCTTCCTGCACCCTCTGCCCATTCTGCTCTCCCGACCCCTTTTGCTCACCCTGGTATCCCCTGTCCCTCTGTTGCCCCTGATTTTGTACCATCAATTGTGCAACTTGCTAATGTGGGCACCCCTGCTAGTGGTGCCCTCTCTGTTGAGAAGTGTAAATTACCGGCACTCAGTAACGTCCCTAGGCACCCCCATGCCGTCACTCAGGGTGCCGTGACCGGGGTCTCCAGCAATGGCCCTGCCACTGGAGTAACCCGGGCCCCAGTGTCCCAGACGGCAGGACCCAGTGTGCCCAATGCTTGGGCATCAGGGCCACCTCGTCTGACCATGGCCGCTCCCGCTGCACGCCCTCAGGCCCCCCCTCTAGGGGGCAGGAGGAACGTGGTACGGTTGGCCTGGGAGGGCGAGACCCGGGTGCCTGACAGGAAGGTACTGGTGTCCTGTCTGAAGGACATGGGGTTCTCCCCCTCTGATCTGTACGCCCTCATCCACGCCGTGGGAACCCGGGAGTTCGACGTCTCAGCTCCTGGACCGTTTCTGGGCTGGGTGGGAGGCGGCCAGCTCTCGGCAGGGGTCGAGATGGACCGGGTTTACCGCTATACCCGTTTCTTGCCAGGGGGTCAAGAAAGTGACTTTCTTGGTGAGGAACGAGTCCATCCTTGTAGCGGACATCCTGGTATGGGTCAGGAGATACAGGGATGTCAAAAGTCCCCCCGTGAAGATCTTGGATGAGGATGGAATTTGGACAGGTGGGTGGACTGTCTCAGTGATGTTGAGGGAGATCCGGGGTGTCATACAGCACATGCCCAACAGCTTTTTCATCGGGGCTGACAGGGTATCCTGTTTTTACCCTGGCCAGCCTCGGGCATGCCATAAGTGCGGATCGTATAGGCATTTTAGCAATGCCTGTACGGTCCAGAAATGCGTGGTGCTGTGGGGCATCTCCGGGACTCCTGCTCGGAGATCAGGTGCCATCTGTGCGAGGAGATGGGACACTCCTATCGCACCTGCCCCGAAGCCCAGCATAATATCGAGTCCATCTGGAGTCTGGAGCCGGTGGAGATGGACTCTGCTGGGTTAGGGGAAGTGGTTGCTTCGACATCGGGTGTGTCTGTCCCTAGCACATCGATCTCCGGGCCCCGACCGCTGTCCATCCCCCCCCGGTCATTAGTGTACCATCTAAGGCCCCAGTGACGGCTGTTAGCTCATTCCCCCACGCTACGGTTAGAGGAGGCACTTCCAACACTGGTGTTGTCCCTGAATCCCATGGGCCCTCTTCCAATGTAAATATTCCCTTGGTGCAACCTGTTCCTTCAACACCCCCCCTTGATCTTGAATGGAAAAAGAAGGAAGTTAGATCTAGAAATCCCCCTCCTCCGAAGGTCTCGGCTCCCTCCTCGCCTCGGAAAACTGCCAGGCCCCCTGCGGAGCAGCCCCAGGAAAAGGGTGCTGTGCCAAATGGTGGCAGGGCAGGGGAAAGGGTCTCTTCCCTGGCTGTGCGGGAGGCCCCAGTGCCCTTATCCAACCGGTTTGAGGCACTGTCCTCCAGCTGGGCCGACCGCATGCTAGAGGAGTAGATGGTGGTCCTTTCTGGGGTGGAGGCGGAGGTCGAGATTGGAGGGGTAGGGCCTCTGAGGGACGATGGGCCCCTCATTCCCGGAGTCTCTGTGAAGAGGTACTGCTCCGACTCGGAGGAGGATAGCTTAAATGGCTCTTATGGCTAATTTCCCTATTCTCTCTGTGGCTACGGTGAATGTGAACAGCGTTAAGTCCAGCAGGGTCCGATTTTTGGTTTATGACCACCTCAGCCGGGCTCCGTACAATGTCATCTTGGTACAGGAGACCCGGCTGGAAACCCTCCGCTGGTGCCCCCAATTATGCCAGTACACATCCTGGTAATGTTGCCCCCCTCCCTGGTAATGTTTCCCCTCTCCCTGGTTCTCATGTTGGTTATGTTGGAACACAGGTTACGAGCACGGGCACCCTGGCAAAGGGTGCCAAAGTTATAAATTTTGTTGGTGCACAAGTTGGTTCACAGATTCCCCCTAGGCACTCCCAGGTTGCCGCCCGGGGTTCTGGTGGGACCGAGGCCTCTGCAGGTCCTGCGGGGGGAGTCCGCCCCACCCCTTCCCAGGTAGTGGGTACCAGTGTGCCCAATGCTTGGGCATCTGGGCCACCTCGCCTCTCAGCGGGCGGGCCTGCTGCGCGTCCTCAGATTTCCTTTGGGAACAGGAGAAACGTGGTACGGCTCGTCTGTGGGGGCGAGATCCAGGTGCCTGACAGAAGGTGGCTGGTGACTCGCTTAAAGGATATGGGGTTCGCGCCCGTGGACCTGTATGCTCTCATCCATGCCTCGGGCACCCGGGAGTTCGTCTCATTCATGACGTCGCAGCTCCTGGATCGTTTCTGGGCTGGATGGGAGGATGCCAGGTCTGCACAGGGCACAAAGTGGGCAAGATTCACCGCTGTGCCCATTTCTCGCCAGGGTCTAAAGGTGGTCACCTTCCTGGTGAGAAATGAGTCCATCCCCACATGGACTAGGAGGTTTGGGGATGTTAAATCCCCCCCAGTTAAGATCTTGGATGAGGATGGGATATGGACAGGTAGGTGGACTGTCTCAGTGTTGCTGCGGGAGATACGAGGTGTCACACAGCATATGCGGAATAGTTTATTCATCGGGGCTGACAGGGTATCTTGCTTTTACCCTGGTCAGCCCAGGGTATGCCACAAGTGCGGATCGTACAGGCATTTCAGCAATGCCTGTACGGTCCTTAATTGCACTATGTGCGGTGCTGTGGGACACCTCCGGGACAGCTGCAGGGAAATCCGATGCCATCTGTGCTCAGAAATGGGTCACACATACCGCACCTGCCCCGAAGCCCAGCATAATGTAGAGTCGAGATGGACTCTGCTGGGTTAGGGGATCAGGATGCAGGAACATCTACGGTGCCAATTTCTGGCGCAAGGGATTCCCTGCCCCAGCCACTGCCCATCCTCCCCTCAGTCTCAGTACCACCTCAGGACCCCGGGAAGGCAACTAGCTCACATCCCCTCACAAAGGTTGATAGAATAGGCACATCCTCCACAGCCACTATGGCTCCCCCTAGGCAAACCCCCCTCCTCCCTCCACGGTTAAGGTTATCCCCACTAATAAATCTTAGAAGCACAGTCCCTAGAATGGTGCACGGTCACGAAAGGTAAACATCCCCCTCCTTCCAAGACCTCAGCACTGCCCGCATCCCAGAAGACCGCCAAGCCCATTGCAGCGAAACCCACTTCTAGGGTGTTGAGGCAAAGAGGTCTCCCCTCCTCTTCGTGCTTGCAGGAGGCCCTGGTGCCCATATCTAACCGGTACGAGGCACTGTCTACCAGCTGGGCTGACTGTGAGCTCGAGGAGGAGATGGCGAACCTCCCCGGGGTGGGGACAGAGGTTGAGGTCGGTCAGGAGGTACCTCTGAGAGACGACGATCCACTATATCCCGGAGTCTCTGTGAAGAGGTACTGCTCCGATACGGAGGAGGAGGGGGATAACAGAAGGAAGGGAAAGTCTCCTTACGCTTAATGCCCTTATGGCAATGTTCCCTATGCTTTCTTTGCCTACGGTGAGGGCCAGATTTCTGGTTTATGACCACCTCAGCCGGGCTCCGTACAATGTCATCTTGGTACAGGAGACCCGGCTGGAAACCCTCGCAGCCCTGCATGCTGCAAAGTGGGACTGGAGATGGGGGCCCTCCTACTTCTCTCTAGCCACAGAGAGATATGGGGGAATCGCCATCCTATTTAAGGAATTTGATGTTCACATCAACAGGGTTATTGAGCTGCAGAAAGGACGTTGTGTGGTTATAGATGTGTCACTGGACAGGCCACCTCTCAGAATCATTAACATCTATGGCCCCCAAACCAAGAGGGAGAGGAAGTGCCTGTTTAGTGAGATAGAGCCTTACCTGTATATATCCAAGCAAACTCTGTTTGGCGGTGATTTTAACACCATCACTAGGCCTCAGGACAGGAGAGGCGCCACTCAGAGGCTTGGGTATGACTCCATTTTTCTAAATAGAATGGTTAGTCAGGCAGGATTGGTGGATGCGTACATTCACCACGCTCCCAATCCCACGGGTGGTTTCACGTATCACCGAGGTAGTTGTCAGAGTAGAAAAGATAGGATTTTTGTTAAGGAGGATTTCCCGGTGACGGCACCTGTGCTTACGCCGGTGGAGTTCTCCGACCATCACATTCTATCTTGTGAGTTGAATGTCCACAACACCCCATCTAAAGGTAGAGGGATATGGTGGCTCAATTCAGACCTCCTGGTGGAACCGAGGGTTCAGCAGGCTTTAAAGGATTTCTTCCACGACCAGATGACTTTGGCCGACTTAGGTCAGACGAAGGCTGAGTGGTGGGAGATGGTGAAGGCCAGGACTCGAAGGCTTTTTCGCAATCTTGCCCGGAACATGCAGTCCTCTAGATACAAGGTGTATCTGAGCTTACTCGCGAGATTAGACATCTTGATCTCGCAGGGAGGTAAGCCCGAGGACGTTGAGGCGGTCAAGGCCCTGATGAGGAGTTATCAATATGATAGGTACGCCTCCCTTGTAAAGGAAAGGGATCATGGGTCTTACCACTCGCCCGATCCTTATTTTAGTTGCAAGAGGAAGGAAGGTACCAAGACCATCTCTAGTCTGCGGGGCGCCGACGGGATCCTCGAGGAATCTCCTCGTGGGATTCTGAAGGTGGTCCGCGACTACTATATTGGACTCCTCGGAAAGGGCAGACCTTGATATGCCGAGGTGGGAACATCCCGTGGGAGGGAGGTGGATGATTTCTTGAGTGGGATCATGCTCCCTGAGAATAACTACCTTTCTTTGGATGAGATGGTCACAGAGAGTATCATGCAACAGAACAAGAGTAAGTCGCCAGGTCCCGATGGCCTGACGGCTGAATTCTACCAGCAGTTCTGCACTCTCTTGGCCCCTCATCTAACCAAGGTGTATAATGAGAGCCTGGCTCAAGGATTATTACCAGCCTCGATGAGGACTTCTGCCCTGATCTTACTGACTAAGCTCCAGGCGCCTTCCGGAGAAATTCCGAGACTTGGCGTTTCTCTCCTTCCACGGTAGACTCTACGTTAAAGGTAACTAAGTGCAGGAACATCACGGATCGCGGTTGTCCTTGGGTGGAATGTTCTCCTCGAGTGTCCCTTTAACGTACAGGTCTCGGCCGCCTTGGGCATCCCCTGTCTATCCCGCATGACTTATGCGGAGTGGGTGTACGGGACAACCAATTCACGGGGGAGGACCTTTGATTTGAGCACTCTTTTCATAGTCAGCTCAGTAGTCAAGTACTTCACGTGGATGGCACGGAGTCAGGTTTCCCTTCAGAGAAAAGACCTTTCCTATCAGGTGGTGGTGGTAGACATCCGGAGAGCAGTTTGCGGGATCTATAATTTGGAAAGGGCCTCTATGGATCCCACAATTTGGCAGAGTCTGTGGCGAAATTTCAAGGTCTACTTGCCTTGAGCAGATCCATGGGCGCCCTTGTCTTGGTGGAGGTTTTCTGATTCTGTTCTTTCACTTCCCTTTAGATTTTTGAGACATTTTTGATTTTAATGGAAGACTACCAGACATTCACAAGACAAGTACCTTCTTTCTGTAGGGAATTGTTGTATATAGTTTTGTATAGTATTGTGTCGGTTTGTTACATGGGTGGCGGGTGGGTATGTAAGAATGGTGGAGGGAGGGCATGCGCTATTCTCTCAAGTATGGATGTCTTATGAACTTTTTTTTCTGGTGGTGGGTTATCATTATTTGGGGTGGCTGTTAACGGACGGAGGGATAGACTCCTTGGGGTGGTGGGTTTTTGAGGGTGGGAGAGAAGACATCTTTTGGGTGGTGGGTTTTGGGGATTGATGATGCAAATATTGATGAGATGTTATGAGTGAACGTTTTCAACAATTTATGGTGATGGTTAAAATGAATACGGACGTTTATGGACTCTTGGATATGTGGTGTGTATATGGTGTATATAGTGTTTCCCCACCCTCTATATTTATTAGGATTTCCTTTTTTTGTAAGGGACACCTGGCTGTGGATGTCAGGTCGGTGGGCTCCCCTTGTGTGTCTTGTCCCGCGTCCTGTTTTGTGTTTTATGTTTCCCCCCCTTACAGAGGTTAGTTTAAAGAAGCCTCATAAGGCAACGAGGCCTCCTTTTAAATTTGTGTTTCCCCCTGGGTTTTATGTCCCATGCTAATAATGGGACCCCAGGTATTATAATTTATTCCCCCTTTATGCTTTCTTTTGTGCTGAAAACTCAGCTATTTATTCGGTTGTATTATGCAATGTGTGTACATGTATCTCTGGGATGTGGGTGTCCCTGGGATACGCTTGTCCCTGGGGTGTGCACATCTAGGGGGTGGGTGTGTCTCGGAGATGTGCGTGTCTCAGGGGTATGTTTGCTGCTATGTTTGTTTATGGTTCTAATGCATTTGTAATAAGCTGTTTTTGAGTTTGTAATTTCATGTTTTGTGACTATTGTTCAGTTATTTTTGTTACAGTTTGTTACTCATCCTTGCATTTTCTTAATAAACCAAATATTTCAAGCTCCAACCACTTGGGGCTGGGAGGAGCTTGCTGCTGGCTGTGTGTTGGAGGCGCTCTGAGCTTCCCAGGAACCATGCCCATTTGTTTCCAGGATTGGAGCCACTTTTCTGGGATACAAAGATACCACTACAGGGGGTCTGCCTGGGCCTTCCTCCACAGCCTGGGGATGGGGGGCCAAACTGGAGCAAATTGAGAAAAACCTGGTCTTTGGGGAAGGTTCTCAGGAGGCCGGGAGCCTGTCATGGCCGCAACACCAGGCCCTCTCCAGGAAGGCCCGTTCTCAGGTATACCAGCTTGTTGACCTGGAGGGGGGATGGTTAGAAAGCTTGCCTAGTGGAAGAAGGGAGTGGGGGTTCCCCATGGTGTGGGGATCAATTACAAATTTGAGATTGCCACACTAATGGGGGTGCTCTCTATGTGTAGAGAGCACATTACGCCTGGCCTCCACTTCCTGGAGCAGTCCCCCCTCCGCTGGAGCCGGGAGAGGGCGCCATGGAGGTGGTTCAAGAGACATCCCAGGAAGAAGCTAGTGCCCCCCCCAAGCCTCCTGCTCCTATGAAGAAGCAGCTAAGGGGGGGGGCTAGGGCGTTGAAGGAGTTGCCTTCTGACAAACTCCTGGCTATGCTGTAGTCCCTGAAGGCCAGGCATGAAGAGTTGGATAACACCTTAGCGTCCAGACGGCCCTCAAAGAACAGAGATATATAAAAATGAGACCTATAGCTACAAAAGAGGCCCCATCAGAACCAAAACTGCAGAGACTAAGCAACAAGAAACACATTTGTGCCATAGTCTACAGCAGCTGGAGACCAAGATAGACATACAGGCTGTTATGCAATACCGTCTGAAGCAAGAAGCGAGGACAAGGAGACAGGGATACTTGGAAGGGAGGAGGGATCTCTCTGCCGGCGAGGAGTCATGCGCAGAGTCTGAGGGTGATCGGACTACCTCGCCGGGGGAAAGACACCTTTCTCCCGCAGCCGCATCTGGGGATCCTGCAGAGACAGCGACAAGTAAAGGAGGGAAGGCTAGAGACTGGAAGCTGAAGATCCAGGAGGACAGGGGCCAAGGGCATATTAATGAAAATCTTATGGTGTTTGGAGAAGAACTGGGTGAGGAAGAAGAGGACTTTGGTACAAATAAAAACAGCAAAAGAAAGAAAAAGAAAACCGATACTCGCCAGCCTGAGGCCCCTGTCCGAGGGACCAGGGGATCGGAGGAGGAGGGTGAGTACAACCCCTCTGAGTACTCTTACTCTGAGGAGGAGTTTCCGTCTCTGCAGGCTTCTGGGGACAGAAATACCAAAACCACAGGTGGAGCACCTGCCAGCCTCAGGAGTCTGCCCACCCTACCTCAGTCGATGTTTCTGGACCCCCCACCGCCCTCCATGGTGACAGGAAGACCAACCCCGCTGGTGTTGTGGCGGACACCAGTGATGCGCTGGAGGGAACTTCCATCTCCTCCCTTCCCAATCCCTCCCCCCCCCGCTGCAGGGTCCCTGGATGCGGCTGTTTCCTCTGTCACTTGTCCTCAGATGGCAGCGGGCCAGTCCACTATCCTGGTCCCAGCTGCAGTTGGTTGTGACCCTCCTTCAGGTGCTGCCGCAGGTGCCGGCGCTGGGCGGCCTGGTGGGGGAGTGGATGGTGCTACTGGGCCCTCCGAGGAGGCTGCTACGGCAGCTGTGCAGCTCATTGGGGGGGACCGGTGGTGCCGTTGGGTCTCCCGCCGGGACTGCTCCGGCTGCTGGCGCTGTGCAGTGCCTGGAGGAGGTGGTTAATTGCTCTGCAATCGTGGCTCTGGGGGTGTCCTCTGAGCAGAAAGTTTTTTCCAAAATTCTTGTAATATATCTTTAAATGCCCCACTGTCTTTCTCTGTACAAGCTGTTGGCGCCTGTGCTGAGCACGTGCAGGCCGTGAGTGCTGCGGCTGCGTGCACGGCGGGCGCAGGTGACTCATCACCCTCAGCCGGCAGAAACTCCATATGTGACTGCTGGTGGGGGTAGGGCAGCTATGCTGTTTGACCCCATAGGTGGCTCTATTGTGGGTGGGGGTGATGGGAGTAGGAAGACTGTTAAAAAACAGTGACCTGACTGATGTTTTACAGCAAATAAACAATGTCCACAGCCAGAATGTGCCCCCTTAGGTGATGGTCCCTCTTAACGTATCCGCTTCTATTCCTGATCCTTCTGTTGTCCCCGGCTCCCTTGACTATTCTCGACCTCCCAGGTACCACTATTGTATCTGCCCTCCCCGGTCCCTAAGCTGTCTTCGCTTCTCATGATTCCACTATTACATCTGCTCCCCCTGGCTCGGTTATGAATATTGGAAACGAAGACAGTGTATCACTTGTATGTCCCCAAGTTCCTAGGCACCCCCAAGCCGTCACTCAGGGTGCTGTGGCCAGGGTCTCCGGTAATGGCCCTGTCACTGGAGTAATCTGCCCCCCAGTGTCACAGATGGCAGGTCCCAGCGTGTCCAATGCCTGGGCATGGGGGCCACCTCGCCTTGCCGGGGTTTGCTCCGTGGCACGCCCTCAGGCTCCCTTTCCAGGGGGCAGGAGGAATGTGGTGCGGCTGACCTGGGGTGGTGAGAGCCAGGTGCCCGACAGGCGGGTGCTGGTGTCCTGTTTGAAGGTTTCTTCCCCTCTGATCTGTTTGCCCTCATCCATGCTTCGGGAACCTTGGAGTTCGACGTCTCCTTTATGACGTCGCAGCTCCTGGATCGTTTCTGGGCTGGATGGGAGGCAACTAGCTCTTAGCAGGGGTCGAGATGGGCAGGATTTACCACTATACCCATTTCTCGCAAGGGTATTAAGAAGGTAACCTTTCTGGTGAGGAATGAGTCCATTCCCATAGCGGATATCCTGGTATGGGCCAGGAGATTTGGGGACATAAAAAGGTCCCCCAGTTAAGATACTAGATGAGGATGAGATTTGGACAGGTGGGTGGACTGTCCCAGTGTTGTTACGGGAAATACAGGGTATCACACAGATACCAGGTATCATGTTTTTACCCTGGTCAACCTTGAACCTGCCATAGGTGCAGATCGTACAGACATTTTAGTAATACCTGTACGGTCCAGATATGCACCATGTGCGGTGCTGTGAGGCACCTGCTCGGAGATCCGGTGTCATCTGTGTGAAAGGATGGGACACTCTTACTATACCTGCCCCGAAGCCCAGCACATCAAGTACATCTGGAGTATGGAGCCGGAGGATATGGACTCAGCTGGGTTAGGGGAAGTGGTTGCCAGAACATCTGGTATCTCTGTCCCTGGCATGGTGGTCTACGAGCCCTGACCACTGTCCATCCTCCCCCTGGTCTCTACCGTTCCACCTGAAGCCCCCGTGACGACTACTAGCTCACACTCTCACTCAAAGATAACATAGGCACTCCCAGCACAAAAGTCGTTCCCAAGTCCAGTAGGCCACCTTCTAAGGTTGCAAATACTCTCCCCCAGCACAGTCCCCTGATACACATGATTTAGTTTGGAGCATGGTGAAGTCAAAGAATCCCCAATCCTTCGACAGAATCAGGTACACCTTTGCCCCAGAGGAGTGCTGGACCCTCTGCGGGGCAGCCCCCAAAAAAAGGTGCTGTTCCAAAGAGTGGCAAGACACAGGGGGCCGCCTCCTCTTCAGCTGTGCGGGAGGCCCCGGTGCCCATATAAAATAGATTTGAGGCACTATCTTCCAGCTGGGCCGACTGCATGCTGGAGGAGGAGATAGCGAACCTCCCTGGGGTGGGGGCGGAAGTTAAGATTGGCGAGGTGCATCTGAGGGATGACTGGCCCCTCTATCCCGGGGAGTCTCAGTGAAGAGGTACTCCTCCGACACGGAGGAGGAGGGGGATAACAAAAGACAAGAGAAATCTCCTTGTATTTACTCTTATGGCTAGTTTCCCTATGCTCTCTATGGCTACGGTGGACGTTAACAGCATTAAGTCTAGCAGGGCCTGATTCTCAGTCTATGACCATCTCAGCTGTGCTCCGGACAATGTCATCTTAGTACAGGAGACCCAGCTGGAAACCCTTGCGGCCCTGCACGCTGCAAAGAGAGACTGGAGATGGGGGCCCTCCTACTTCTCTGTAGCTACAGAGAGATATAGGGGAATCTCCGTCCTATTTAAGGACGCTGATGTTAGCATCAACAGGGTCATTGAGTTGCAGAAAGGACGTTGTGAGGTTTTAGACTTATCACTGGGCAGACAACCTCTCAGGATGATTAACAGCGGATCACTGGGAGAGGAAATGTCTGTTTCATGAGATAGTGCCTTACCTCCCAGCAAATCCTATTTGTTGGTGACAAAGACAGGAGCGGCGCCACTCAGAGGCTGGGGTATGACTATTTTCTGAAGATGTTTAGTCAGCCTGGTTTGGTTGATGCGTACCTTCACCACGCTCCCAATCCCACTGGTGGGTACACTTATCACCGAGGTAGATGCCAGAGTAAGATAGACAGGTTTTTCTTTAAGGAGAATTTCCTGGTGGCAGCACCTGTGCTTACACCGGTGGAGTTCTCCGACCATCACGTTTTGTCTTGTGAGTTGAACGTCTACGGCACCCCACCTAAGGGTAGAGGGATCTAGCGGCTCAATTCAGACCTCCTGGTGGAACAGAGAGTTCAGCAAGCCTTCATGAAATTCTTTCATGATCAGATGACGTTGGCGGAACTTGTTTTGCAATCTCGCGCGGAACATGCAGTCTACTAGGTACAAGATCTATCTGAGCTTACTTACGAAGTTGGACGTCTTGATCTCTCAGGGAGGTGACCCCGAGGACATTTTGGCGGTCAAGGCCTTGATGAGGAGTTACCAGTATGACAGGTATGCCTCCCTTGTAAAAGAGAGGGATCACAGGTCTTTTCACTTACCCAATCCTTTTCTTAGTTGCAAGAGGAAGACCATTACCTGTCTGTGGAGCACCGATGGGATCCTGGAGGAGTCTCCTCACGGGATCCTCGGAAAGAGCAGACCCCAGATGGACGAGGCGGGCAAATCCCGTGGATGCAAGGTGGATGAATTCTTGAGTGAGCTCACGCTCCCTGAGTACAGCGACCTCCCTTTTGGTGAGTTGCTTAGCGAGATCACCATAGAAGAGGTCTCACAGAGAGTATCCAGCTGGAGAACAAGAGTAAGTCGCCAGGTCCTGATGGCCTGACAGGCTGAATTTTACCAGCAGTTCTGCGCTCTCTTGAGAGCTTGGCTCGAGGATTATTGCCACACTCGAGGAGGACTTCTGCCCTGATCTTGCTAACCAAACCGAACATGCTCGACACAGCGGATGTGCGGAACTGGCGCCCCATATCCCTTTTAAATGTCGACAGGAAGGTCCTGGCAAAGATTTTGTTGAAGAGATTAGCCTAGCGAGGCATATCCTGTCCATCTCCCAGTACTGTACAATCAGGGGACGAACTGTCTTTGATGCCGTTTTCGAGGTCAGGGAAGCTCTCGAGAAGTGCAGGGCCGGAGGAAGGGGGATATACCTTCTGGCACTGATCAGTCCAAAGCTTTTGACCAGGGAAATTTATCAATTGGGTCATCACCTTATACCGAGAGGCTGAGAGCTTCACTCTTGTGAACGGGTGGAGGGGCAGGACGTTTAGGATCCGATATGGGGTCTGGCAAGGCTGTCCCCTCTCAGCCCGCTCTTGTAAGTGTTTGTAGTCGATCCCTTCATCCGGAGGGTCGATGCGAGCACGTTGTAGGGAGTGGCCAGGGGTCCTGGAGAGGCCTTTACGGGTTGTTGCCTACGCTGATGACATCTCCATCGTGGTCTCCGACACTCGGGATTCCACGGTGGTGGATGAGTTAGTTCTAGCATACTCGGTCGCTTCAACCTCGTGTATCAACAGGGACAAGAGCGGAGTTTTCTGATGTGGGAAGGAGGGGGACCAGTTCTCTCTTCCAGATGGTTTCCCACGGGCCCAGTCTGAAATTAAAATCCTGGGAGTGGTGTTCGGACCAGGGGATCTGGCTCTCAGGAACTGGTCCGACAGCTTGCCATAGCTTCCCGCAAGGTGGAGGAGAGCCATCGGTGGAAACTGACCTATGGAGTACGGGTGAAACTGATCAAAACCCATGTACTGACTGTATTCGGCTACGTCAGTAACATCTTTCTTTTGCCCAGGTCTCTTTATGCTCGGATGTTTGCGCTGTTCTTCCGCATGTTGTGGGGGAACAGGCTGAACCTCATCAAGAGGGAGGTCAGTTACCTGGCCAGGAAGGACAGGGGGTTTGGCCATGGTCAACCCTATCGTCCTTTTTACTAACAACTTTCTGAAAAGGAACTTTGGGGCTCTCCTGAAGGACGAGCTGCCTGGCTGGGCATGTATATTCAGGGAGTGGACCGCTCTGTTCTTGGTGGACTGGTTTCGTGGCGGGAAGGTGAAGAGTTTGAGGGTCCTGCAGTCTAGCTACCGCCCGGCTTCGGTCGTCGAGGGAGTGGGGATTCTCCGCAGGTGGAACGTCACGGTGGACGAGGTTCCGGACTCTCCCAAGAGGCTTCTCGATGGGAGGGTCTTGGCCACTCACTTTGGCGTTCAGCTTGCTTCGAAGGACTGCCCACCAAGTATTTTCACAACTCCAGGTGCCTTCCGGAGAAATTCTGAGACTTGGCGTTTCTTTCCTTCCACGGTAGACTTTATGTTCGAGGGAACTTGAAGTACAGGAACATCACGGATCGCGGTTGTCCACGAGTGGAATGTTCCGGGAGAGTGGAGTCCATGGACAACTTTCTCCTCGAGTGCCCCTTTAACGTCCAGGTCAACAAAGAGGTCTCAACCGCCTTGGGCATCCCCTGCCTATCCCGCATGACTTATGTGGAGTGGGTGTACGGGACGTCCAACTCACAGGGGAGGGCCTTTGATTTGAGCACTCTTTATGTAGTCAGCTCAATTAAGTATTTCACTTGGATGGCACAGTGTCAGGTCTCCCTACAGCGAAAAGACCTTTCCTGTCAAGTGGTGGTAGCAGCCATTCTGAGAGCGGTTTGTGGGATCTGCAACACCGAAAGGGCTTCTATGGATCCCACAATTTGGCAGTGTTTTTGGTGAAATTTCAAGGTCCACCCGCCTTGAACCGTTCCATGGGTGCCCTTGTCTTGGTGGGGGGAATTTTAACATCTTTCTTCACCTTTCCCCCTTAGATTTTGAGATGGATTTTGTTTCATGGAAGGCTGCCACAGCTTAGTAGACTAGTATCTTCCTCTGTATAGGTTTGTAGAGTTTTTTTAATGTGATTATTGTTATGGTTGTGTGGGTGGTGTTCTGTTTCTGTGTGGGTGGGTTTATTTATGTATTGTTTGGGTTAGGGTGGGTTTTCTTGTTATGTTTATTATGTTTTCATATTATGTTGACTTCTGGGCCTTTTTGTTTTGGGTGGGGCACTTGGTGTTATCGGACGGAGGGATGGACTCCTTGTGGGTGGTGGGTTAAGAAGAAAATTTGGGTTTATGGATGGGTGGGATTTGGATTTTCTTTTGGGTGGTGGATTGTTAGGGAATGTTTATGTTTCGAGAATTATGGATAGGCTGGTTTTTCAGTGTTGTGTTTAGGGTTTGTGTAGTTTTAGAAACAGAGTGATAAGACGCTCACTATAGTAACAAGTACAACAATAGTATTGGGCAGCAATAACCAACACAAGGATTCCCAACCTTGTGACAGAAGTAGTGTGAACAAATAGGATTAAGAAACCGCGCCCTAGACAGTGTGATACAAATAAATTGTATACGTACACAAGTGTGTACGGTCTATGTCCAACTGACCTAAAAAAAAACCAATAGTGAAAATATCGTAAATATATCAAGCAGGTTGTGTGGATACTTTTAGTGCTTTCACTCACATTTCCCAGAGCTCAGCTGTTAATGCGCGTGGACGGTACAATCCCCGTCTCAGGATATATACTGCAGAGTGCGTCTTAGTAGTTCCGAGCAGAATACAGGTAATATGTGGGGAAATAGAAATCCAATAGTGCAAAGTATAAAAAAAAAAAATGGTAACGTACTCACATTTGCTAGAGCACAACTTGCTCTAGTCAGTATGGCATAGGTGGTATCATCCCCACCAGGGAATATGAAGGTAACCAGGAATTGAACGGAATCAGGTATCCAAGGTAAGTAAAATAAGTAGAATAGTAATATATAAAATATATATTATTTAACAAAAATTAACAAAAGAGTAACATACAAATAGCTAAAAAAAAGTCCCACTTGACGCATTTCACCTTAAAAAGGCTTCCTCAGAAGTGTGGGTGAAGTCCTAATTCCGTCCGTTTATATAGATATTCCAAATTGAATGATGATTTCCTGGTGTGATGTAAAAGGTCCCTTCCGGTTTCCTGTAACCACTGGTGGAATGCATGCGTCACATACACCAGTGGGGGTGTTAGATGATAAATTCCTTGCGTAGTGCAGGTGCCCTTCCTGCTTTCTGTGACCATTGATGAAACGCACGTGTCACACCGGAAGTGACGCGGCCTATAAGCCAATGGTAGCGTACTGCGTTCCACTCTTGGAACGCATGCAGTCCCGGACAGCGTGGCCCACCATAATTAATAACATAAGTCCCAGAGTGTGGGCGGTTATTATGGAAATCGGTCCGTGTACTGGTATTTCCATCCAGTGAGATTTACTTACGATCCAGTTTCCCCCAACACAAGATTAAAACAAGAAATTACTCCTGGGAGAAAGTGACCACAAGAAAATCATAGAAGACGTGAAGAACTTGAACCAAATACCCCAAATGACCTAATCACTAAAAATAGGTATCACGCTTTGTCTTTTTGCGAACCTTTCGATGAAACTTATTTTTTGGGAAATTCCGTCCAACAGAGAACGCCAAACCAATCACCTGAATATTACTCCAATAAAGATCCGCAAAAGAGATTTAGAGGACGGAGATCAGGCAGAAGACAGCAAGTAAGGAAGAATAGAAAGACTTTAGATGTTATGTCCAACAATTCACATACAGGCATTTTTAACTTGTCAGACAAGAATCTGAGTAAGATTGGGACTGATGTGCCTAAAAAGGGTCTAAAGTTCGCTCCCACCAGACCCTATAACTCCATGACTTTTATAGATCTAAATAAGACCAACATTGGACAGGCAAGCACTAGTAATACTCCTGATAGAAATCAAGATAATCTGTATATAAAAAGTAACTTGAAAAATAGATGAAAATTCTATCCGGCATACTGTAAATCTAGTGCTTTAGATATTTTTGAGAAAAAAATAGTTAAAGATATAAGTCTTAGAAAAAAAATGACAAGTATAAGGAAAGGGCGAATTTAAGTAAAAATGAAAGAAACACTAAAGGATCTGTATAATGACAGGTCTATTGTAATTAAACTGGCGGATAAAGGCGGAGGTCTCGTCATATTATCCAAAGAGCAATATGAAGACGAGGCCCTCCGACAATTAAATGATCACACTACTTATATTAAGCTTTCTGCCAACCCCACATTAAATATTAAAAAGAAACTTAGTGAATATCTAGATAAGGGATTTAAAGCTGGCATCCTGCATAAAGATGAATTCCAGTATATTAATGTTCTGTATCCCAAAATCCGTTATTTATTTTTTACCGAAGATCCATAAAAGTTTAACTAAACCCCCTGGATGACCTATCGTCTCAGGGATTGGATCTGCGCTTTCGAATCTATCAGAATATATAGATATTTTACTTCAGCCTTACGTTAAGAAAACAAAATCCTACCCCAAAGACACTATAGACCTTTTAAAGAAATTAGAAAAAATTACTTGGCAAAAAGATTTTTTACTTATTACTTGTGATTAGTGATGCACCGAACGGTTCGCCGGCGAATAGTTCCTGGCGAACATAGCATGTTCGCGTTCGCCACGGCGGGCGAACATATGCACGGTTCAATCCGCCCCCTATTTGTCATCATTGAGTAAACTTTGACCCTGTACCTCAGTCAGCAGACACATTCCAGCCAATTAGCAGCACACCCTCCCTAGCAGACCCTCCCACCTACTGGATGGCATCCATTTTACATTCATTCTCAAGCTGCATGCTTAGTGAGAGGAGGGAAAGTGTAGCTGCTGTTGATTAGATAGGGAAATGCATAGCTAGGTTAGGGTATACAGTGTCCACTACAGTCCTGAAGGACTCATCTGATCTCTGCTGTAAGGACAGCACCCCAAAAAGCCCTTTTTAGGGCTAGAACATCAGTCTGCTTTTTTTTTTTTCTGTGTAATGTAATTGCAGTTGCCTGCCTGCCTGCCAGCTTCTGTGTCAGGCTCACAGTGGATACTGTGCCCAGTGCCACCACTCACTCACTGGTGTCACAATAGCTTGCATTTAAAACCCAAAAACTTTTTTCACTGTTATAGATTGAATAGCAGTTAGTTGTCTCAAAGCGGGTGTGTCAGGCTCACAGTGGATACTGTGCCCAGTGCCACCACTCACTCACTGGTGTCACAATAGCTTGCATTTAAAACCAAAAAACTTTTTTCACTGTTATAGATTGAATATAAAAGTGGCCTCTTTGAGAGAAATATTTCCCACAATCAGAACAAAAATAAGGTTTCTCTCCTGTATGGCTCCTCAAATGATGCTTAAGATTAGAAGCGGCTGAAAAGCATTTCTCACACTCCGAACAAAAATATATATTTTTTTAAATTCTCTCCACTTTGAACGAAATGACATTTGGGAAGAGATTTTGTATGAGTAGGTTTTTCATGTACAATATGGGAACATGATTTAGATCCTTGGTAAGTTTTGCGAGATCCAATAGTGTGTATGTAGGGGGAACAGTCAATCCATATCTGCCAAGTGACCCTATGTAGGAGGAACAGTCTCTATTCTGCTCTGTGTCAGTGTGTATCAGGTGTCAATCCATATCTGCCAAGTGACCCTATGTAGGAGGAACAGTCTCTATTCTGCTCTGTGTCAGTGTGTATCAGGGATCTGAGGACAGGTGTCAATCCATATCTGCCAAGTGACCCTATGTAGGGGGAACAGTCTCTATTCTGCTCTGTGTCAGTGTGTATCAGGGTCTCTGAGGACAGGTGTCAATCCATATGTCAAGGTGTCAATATGTCATATATCAGGTGTCAATCCATATCCATTGTGATTTAGGAATGTTAGGTGATTTATGCCCTTTATGGATTAAGACTCTGCATCAACTGTGTAATTTTCCATGGGAGTTTTGCCATGGATCCCCCTCCGGCATGCCACAGTCCAGGTGTTAGTCCCCTTGAAACAACTTTTCCATCACTATTGTG